CTGCTGATGCTGTCTTTCCAGCGATGCTGACACGTCAGTCTATGCCCAGCAACCCTCTGGCTGCTCCAGGAGCAGCACTTTGTGGAAAACACCCTCACAGTCACAGTGTTGATCAAGTCTGGGACCAGCATGCCAAAGGCTTTTGAACCAGTGCCTGAGGTGTGAACCTGTACTCTTAGACACATCAATTTTGGTGCTAAATGATTACTTTAGAGGGACTGCTGTTACTATTTTGGCTAATTATTGACAGAAACCAATTTTATTACTGTGTACAGCTTTGAGCCAGTTATTCAAGTGGGAGGTTCTACAGGACATTACATCTTCTCAAAGCAATAGTATGGAGGCTTTTCTCTAAGGAGGAACATTTTACCTCAGAGAAATTCAACAGAGGCAATAACCTTCAACTATATGAACTGAAAAAAATCTTCAGGCTTTTAATAACTATTCAAAGTCAATATATGTTAGTGCTTTAAAGAGGTCAAAGCACGTTATGACTGACAGGACAGTGGTGTTGTGATCAACATTCGTGTGCCATTCTGAGTGCTCTGCATTATCTACCTCAGGCAGATCAGTTTCTGCCTGGCACCCAGCAATCCACAGCACCCAATTCACCCACCTATCAATTTTTTAATCATTCCAGCAGATGCACTGCCCATGCTGAACCTTCCACTGTTCAGGATATTCATGGCAACCTGTGAAGAAAATGAAGAAAGGAACATTTTCCTTAGACCACGATGGTTATTGCTACCTTGCTTCATGCTTTAGTGCTTCCCAGGATTTCACTCCTCACAAACACACTTCCTGTCCTGGGGCAGCTGCCCTCACATCAGCCAGCACAGCAGTCAGCATCCCAGAGGGAATGCTTCTGACCCACTACATCCCATTTCCTATTTGAAATAGTTTCCAGAGAGTGATGATCCAGTGACCTGGAGGCAATCTCTAAGCAAACTACATGAAGGTAAAACATAGATAAAAATGTATTTATCTGCAGCTACATAAACAATGTTCCAACCAGCCAGCACTGCTCCAGTTTACCAGATGAAGAAGAAAAACACAGTATGGTTTGATGCATGTACAAACAGCCAAATATAACATCCCCTGCAGCTGGATGGATGCTCTCTGCCTCAGATTCCTTTCCGCAACAAACCACAGAAGGGAACAAGAATGAAAGGTGCAGAAACGAAAAACAGATCAAAAATGCACAAAAGTAGATTTGGGAATCCAGTATTATTGTTTCTCAACAAGAGAGATATGGGTGACTCAGGTCAGAGACTGTTAAGAAAGAAGGCACTTCCTCCATTTTAATTTGTGATTAATATCTCAACAAGAAACCATAAAAGTCTTCTTTTAAAGAAAACTATTTCCTTTAGCATTTAGGTCTGGACTTGCCTGCTACAGGAGGAGGAGGAAACTGAGAAGGACCAGTAACAGCAGTTTTGCAAATCTACAGGTCAGACTCTCAGAGAAAGGTTCTAACAGCAAAGCAATCAGCAGTGCCTTCACTGGTGTCACACTGCCCTGACACCAGGGAGAGCACTGGCTGTCCCAGTGCTCCTGCCATTATGTGCTTGTGCAGTGACCTAACCCTGGAACACCATCTCACAGCCATGGGACGCTGGACAGGACCTGGGCTTTCCTTGAACAATTTCCTGTTACCCTCATTGCTTTCTCTCCCTCTGTGCACAGCCCACAGTTCTGGCTGCAGCAGAGGACACTTCCCTGATGCAGTTCAGAAGGTCAGTTGAAGAAGTCGCTCCCTTTTCTGAAGGGAGCAGTACATCATGGAAAACAATCAAAAGCCCAACAAACAGCAGAAGTAGCTCTCCAACTGTATTGGGAAGAGATCAACAGAAATCTGAGGTTATGGCACACAGTGCACTGCCAGTGAAACCATTTACACAGAGCACATCAGGGCCATGGCGGAGTCTGTCCTCTAGTATCCTTCAGTGTGGCAGTGCTCATACTACCCATGGGGAAACTTCACTATGTGGGGAACAAATAGTCTCCTTCAGGCTTTTAAAAATCATCAGTAGTTATTCTCCACTGCTTACCTTAAATCCCCCTCCAACTTCTCCAATTACATTCTCTATAGGCACTTTGGTGTTTTCAAAATGTACTTCACAGGCTGAAACACAGAGTTAACAGCTGTTCAAGTATGACAGAAATATTTGAGAGACATTCAGGAACGTAAGTCACAATTTGTAACGGGAAATGAAGTTTTCCCACTGCATTGTTTATGACGAATTATGTATGTTTTGCCAAAGAAGTGAGAATTTGGGAAAAGACGTCAACTATGGATGTAAAATATTCAAAATGTAATGAATTTACATGTTCAAGCACAGAACTACACTTTTGTCTTTATTTTGTCTCATTTCTAAGGAACTGATTCAGCAGCTGAGTCCAAAAGACAGATGGTGAAAAGCTGCAATCATTAATAAGCTTAAGAAGAGCCAATGAAAATGTGTTTCTAGATTAAAGCTATTGGTTACTGAATCTCCTGAGTGATTTCTTTCACTTCGCAGGGAGAGAACCTTCATGTGTGCAGAAAGGAAAGCTAGAACATGGATGTCTTATTTCAGACCCTGCATTAGGAAAGACTCACAGGAAAAGCCAGGTAAAGAAACATGAAACTTATATGGAATAGATACTGATTTGTCTCTGAATTCAGATGATCTAAACAAAATAAAACATTAAAATACTAAAACAATTTCTGATAACAATTTGAAGTAATTCTTACTGTTGGACCCTCGAATGCCTAACTTATCCTCAGGCTTCCCATGGGTGACACCACCGAAATCCCTCTCCACGATGAATGCAGTGATTTTGTCCTTTTGCTGCCCATCTTTATCCACAACCTCTGTCCTAGCAAACACTGTGAAAATACTCGCCAGGCCACCATTGGATATCCACACCTGTTTTGAGAGAGGAAAGAGCACAGAATCACAGAATATTCAGAGTTGGAAGGGACTCATAAGGATCATCAGTCCAACAGCACAGCCCCAACAATCCACCCTGTGCCTGAGAGCGTTGTCCAAACACTCCCTGAGCTCTGTCAGGCTTGGAGCCATGACCACTGTCCTGGGGAGCTGTTCCACTGCCCAAACACCCTCTGGGGGAAGAACCTTTGCTTACTATCCAGTCTAACCCTCCCCTGACACAGCTCCATGCCATGCTGTCACTGGTTGCCAGAGAGGAGATCAGTCCTTGCCCCTCTGCTGTTCCTCCTGGGAAGTTGTATAGCACCATGAGGTCTCTCCTCAGCCTGCTCTTCTCTAGGCTGAACACACCAAGTGACCTCAGCAGCTCCTCATATGGCTAAGATGTGTAAGATGTAATTGTTCTGATTTTGTGAGCACAGCTCTTAAGCGTTTCTAAGAGACTGGCAAAGCACAGAGTTCTGAAAAACTCCTTCCCTTAAATTCTAATGAGTGTTCTGCTGCTAGGGTTTCCTCTTGTGAACATGTTTCCAAGGACAGCTGACCACAGATGGCAAGGTTAGAGCAACTATAAAAACAGGCTGCAATATCAAATGGATTAAATTAAAATCCATGGTGCACTTCCACAAAAGCTTGTGCATCTTGCTGCTTAGGACATGTGAGGGATATGAGGGCGATGCAGACTGTAGAAACACTGTGCCCAAAAATGATTTAGCTTTGATGAGAAATCCTCTCATCAGGCCACATACATATGGACTCTCTCACAGGATGGGTCTCTCAACATCACAAATATATCAACAATGACAGATCAAGTCTGCAGTGCAGGAAATACTGCTGAATCCAGTACATCTCTGTTTCTTCAACACTTTATTTTGCCATTTTTTTTTTTTAGCAGAAATGTTCCAAGCAGATCTATTTCAAAGTAAATGTCAAGTTTTCTTTCAAAACCACTTACAAAACCTGACCTGAAGAACAGACAGAGGAAAATATGGGTTTAGGCTTCTTTTTGCCTATACTGTCACAGAGGAGGCTAATTAACTAACTAACCAACCCTCTCTGAAGCTGAACCCACAAGCTGGTGCTAGATAAGGTATTTAGGAGTGGTTTCCTATTCTTCTGACCAACAGTTTTGTGCAGTTATTCCCGGTGCTTTTCTATTCTCTTTCTCTAAGAAAATTGGCTGTGGTTTTGATGTGGTCATTCTTCACTAGCTTAGGAACCTTCCATTTCCAAGGCAGCTGCTACACCAGCCTCTTAGGCAGACTGATGGCAACACTGCAAAAGACACTGACACTTGCTAGCCACTTGGAACAAAAGCCTGTCCTGTTTCCAGTCTGTGAGTAGGCACCTTGGAGCCATTTAACAGGAAGTATTTCCCATCTTCACTGAGGGTTGCTCTTGTCTGGATGGATGCAGCATCACTTCCGCTAGAAACAAAACAAGTTATTAATGTCTAAATAAACATGATGGCAACACTGCAAAAGACACTGACACTTGCTAGCCACTTGGAACAAAAGCCTGTCCTGTTTCCAGTCTGTGAGTAGGCACCTTGGAGCCATTTAACAGGAAGTATTTCCCATCTTCACTGAGGGTTGCTCTTGTCTGGATGGATGCAGCATCACTTCCGCTAGAAACAAAACAAGTTATTAATGTCTAAATAAACAACTTTAAGAAA